CACATAGTGAGAACGTCGATTCTTTATTATGGCTAATAACGTATGCAATTGTGTACGAACGTTGGAACTCAGTGTTGTCGGTTTACGGTTCACTTGTCGTCGAGGATTGCCTGAAAGAGCATTTATAATAATTAATTGCTAGATTTTAAGGTAATGAATGAAAAATAATATTGAATAACTTTGACATATTTTTTTCTCTCAGCTCGTTACATTGACTTTTTTATAGATAGATTTTATAAGGTCTCCGACTTTTTTCTCTGTGTACTGCAAACTCTATGGCAAATTTAACATACTCTGTTCAGGGTATAAAAACMAATATTTGCTCATACAATAGCAAAATAAATATTTTTCTTTCAATTAATTTACTTTATTTACCTTCTGGAAAGAGACTTTGAACTAAAGGAAGTTTACTTTGGTGCATTGCCCCACTCACATACTTTGGCAAAACGTCCGAATTCTTTTCTAAAAAACGATGTATCGAGTAACTGACGACATTGGCAAAGTGGCGTATTCTAAAATGAAACCATGTTACAGATATTTTTTATTTGCATAAATTAAGGCTTAACTCACTTGAAGCACATTGAATTCTGACTGCCACTTATAAAATTCGGGTGCCCTGCACAACACTGCTGAATGCGTAGCAAAAGTGATTCATTGCTGTTAAGATGCGGCTCATTAATAATTGCTAAAATACCATAACTTGGCTTATCGATAAGTTCACAAATTGATTCGTTATCAAAAAAGTCTACTCGTGTCCATTCCAGCCCTTCACGTAAGTATATTTCCTGTTCTAGTCTTAATACGTTGTGAACAAAATTCTGAAATTCAAAAATAAATCAGTTTTTAAGTTCATATTTTGACTGTAAGAATTTTAAAGATATAACAAGAAAAGTTGTTAACAATCTGATCATTTACTATATATTTAAACTTTTTGGTTCTCGTAAGTTTGTTTTTGGGAGTTACAAACCTCGTGGTAAACTATCATAAATAGTTTAGATTTTTCGATATATACATATGTTTACCTGGTGTATCTTTTCAGCGCTGTAATTTATTGCGAATTGTTCGAAGGAGTTGATTTCAAGCAACTCGAAACCGTAAAAATCGAGTAAAGCTAAATTCTTTTCACGTTGTGTAGATTTTAGTATTTCATTGATTTTATTCACCAACCAAGTAAATAGCCGGCCATAAAGTGTGCGACAAAGGGTGTTACGTGCGTTGGCCGCTTGACGAGCATCTAATTCGCAGCCTTTAGTAAATATTAAAAACGTGCAACACATCAAATTCATTACTTATTAGTTATAAGTTAAACTCCATTTAAAAAGGTTATGTTACTTCAATGTAAACCGATACTTACCGACATCCTCCATAGTGCTATTTGAGCAATTGGCTCGAGTAAGGCAATTTATTAAGATTTGAGCTTCTAAACTTAGTAAGTGTGCTGTCTCTTGCACTTCTGCAGAAAAAGAAAGCAATTTATTAATAAATATATATAACAGCGCTTTTTAATATAAGTATATATAAAATTGTGTATAAATACCGTAAATATTTGATATTTGACAGCCTTCAGTTCCGTCGATATTTGTTATGGGCACAAAAATGAAGTTTCCTAACTTTAAAACGATTGCAATGACACGAAGTATGGCGGTAACTTCATCACACGTCAAGCCAAGTATTTCAAGAGATTTCTAAAAAAAAAGAAACTATTTAGTATTTAACAGTATGTATTTCTACATACTTTGGTGTAGTGAAAATTATCGCGATCTTCTTCAATGGCAGTTGTATTCCTTAAGATATCGTATTTTTCCACATTCCTATACAGTTTTAGTGATTCTGCGAAAAAGAATTTGAGTTAAGCTTGTTGGCGAAGATACCTTATTATACATAACTAACGCGATAAACAAAATAATTAAAGCAGATTTTGTTGGAAAAATATGTCAAGTAAATCTTAAAAATTGTTTCTTAAGTAACTAGCTTCGAMAAAGCTTTTACTTTCTTTTGAATAAAAACTCACTTAACAATGGCAGATCAGCTCCTAATAGCAACTGGTAGAAGATGTGAAAATTTCGTTCCCCAACACCGGGATTGGTAATGCGCGCCTGAAATAATTTTAATTTTAGTCAAATTTAAAAAGTTTTATAACTATTTACCTTTTCCAACATGACTTATAAAAAAAAATTGACAGACATGAAATGAATTGTGTTAGTTTAAATATTTTTATCAAATAGTTTTAAGATTAAATTTTTAGGTTATGTTCTAAATATATGTAGTTGTTAATAATATACAGCTTTGTTTTTAGTTACAGTCTAGAAACTTTTTTATTTTTACTTACAATGAGTTATGTGCACGCCCATCGGATCGCCCTTAAAATCGATTTCAATGTCGAACAATTTGCCCTGAGGGAAATTTAGTTGTACATAAGCAATAGATAATAAAATTATATGCACTTTTATTTGTATGCAACCTACATAACGACTGGAATTGCTATTCTTTGAGGTAACCGCATTTCCCATGGCTTCGAGAAAAACATCGGCACAAGTGACACATTCTCGTAATCTTTGACTAGGTGACTTTCGACGCGACTTTGTGTTTGGCACATTCATTGTCCCTGAGAGTGAAAGTGATGAAGAAGTTTGTGCACCAGTTGCAAAACTACTTGGTATGGCTGTGCAAGTAACGCCGGCCATCTGATTCTGTTTGTGTGCTTCGTAAAGAGAAATACGTTGTGTTGAACCAATCAGTGATGAACGGTCGGTTTGGCTTTCTGTGGAATGTTGTCGTAATAGATTACAGAAGCTACCGCGATGCATGGCTCTACAAGGACCACCTAAAAAGCTATGTGTAGTGGTCGTTTTGAATGGCATATTGCGAGAATCCATTTCAAGAGCTAAAGCGCGTGTACATTTACTGTGGCCACACTGGCGACAACCTCCGCTAGATACATTTCCAGAGTGGTGGGCACTATGCAGGTATTTCGACGATGTGGCAATGCTTGAATTCATTAAATTGGCAGTGTTAATAGGGGCTGTTTGTGTTGGCTGATGCTTAAAGCATGACTTTGACGGATGTTTTTCAATAGYACGTGATGTTACCTTTCCATCGATATATGAAATATTTTCMGTACTTTTGTGATGAGAGAAATCGAARTCAACAATTTTCTCTCGCATATTACGCCGACATTGACTGCGATCTGAGCTTTCAGCGCGAATGCGTTGTGCGGAGACATTTGCAGTGCTACAWCGACGTGGTCCTGGACCAGGCGAAAGCGACTGACGACGCGCTGTATTTGTTATTGTCATGGCACTATCAGATTTTTTATATAAAGCAACATTTGGAACCGAACAATTGCTAGATGTGCGCCGATGCATTTGAACATAACCACTATAACCACTGCCAGTACTACTATTCGGTATTTCTTTTTTAAATAGTTGCGACGTTGTGATTTTATCTTGAATATGTGTGAGAAAATTAACGACCATTTTGAAGGATTCCGTCTTCCCTGCGCCACTTTCGCCTGAAAAATAATAAGATTACTTAAAATATTGCCGTGTTGAAAACAAAAACCAACCTGTGAGTACAATACACTGATCTTCTCCTTGATCTTTCAGCGATTGAAATGCTAAATTCGTCAAACCGTAACTAAATAGATAACGCTTATTAAACAATTATCAATAAGAAATTTGTATTGTCTTACATATGCGGTGGCAATTGAAATATTCCTTTGCTGCCATAGTTTCGTATGGTGTCTGACGTTCGTTCTGATATGTGATGATAYGGATTCACAGCGACAACAGATGTTCCAATGTATGTCTAATAATAATAAACAAAATTATATGCAAATACATTATCTTAACCTTAAGAAATGTTACCCTGTATACTTACGTATATGTGGTCACGTTTGTAGCGAAGGTGGATATTGTTAATAAAGCTATCTTCAGAAAGGTTTTCCAGAAGAACTGAATCCCATGTTCCAATTTCTTGTTCCATTATGTACAATGATGTTTTTTGTTTTTATTTTCAGAGTTGGTCAGCGATTGGGTTTAACAATTTATGTTAAATTATTTACCACAAAGCAACAAACAGGCCATACTGGTGGATTAAAATGCCATCACCAATACAGCGCATCGTACAAATAAAKGTGTTTTCAGAACTATAAAAAAAAATAATTATTTTGTTTTCTAATATAATTCTGTTTTCATGTCAAACGCTCTGGGTAATCGCTATTGAATAATAAGTCATTTTTACTTACTCTCAAAATAAACGATAAAAACTGGTCAACTTTGATTTAGAAGTGCATTTTGATATTGTATTGTTTATTTTTATTTTGCATTAACAATTTAACCAACACAATTTTCACAGTTACCCTYAAGCATTTTCCCATTTTTCTACATTTTGCTGTGTTGACATTTATTGCACTTGACATTTCAGCCACAGTGAAGATGTTTCAGAAAATATATATTTAAAAAAAATGTACCATTATAAATATCTCAATAAATCTAACACAAATAAATTCCCAATAATAGAAAAATAAATATTATTTTATTATCAGTTTTTTTTTGTTAGTATGAGTATACATTATTTTAACAAATATTTTCAATTAAAGTTTTCTAAAATTGACGAATTTTTTACATAATTTTAAACCAACACTTAATGATATCTGGATATACCTAAATTTATATTTTTATATAATTACATAGGAGTTGGAGTTAAATCATGATTTTCTAAAAAATTTTAAGTTTTCAAATGAACATGTGATTTACATTTTTTAGCTTGTGCTTARCTTGGCAACTCAGTTATTTAAATATGTCAAATTAGCGCAGCTGCGTTTGCAGTTTTTCATCTTGGCCATTCATTCGTTTTYTATGGTTCAAGTTAAAATGTTGTTTAGTTTACATATTTGTGTATAACGTTGTAATGTTATTTATTAATTTAGTTGAAATATTATTTCGTGTTTGAGTGATTTATTTGACTTTAAAAAATGTTGGATGTGCAGTCTGAAAAACAAAAATTAATTAAAAGTAGCTTAATAAATTAAATAAACGTTTTCAAAGCGGCAATGTATAAAAATAAAGTTAATGTAAAGTGCAGTGTTTGATAGTGCTTGTAGTATACTACTTTTATTTAAACTAAATAAAGTAAATTGGAACTCTCTTTGCGGAAAGAACTTCAGAATTCAACACAACCAAAAARCTAACAATTATTTGTTCAGCGACAGTGAATTGGAAATATGTATATTGATGTCTTAAGCTATTACCATTGTTTGGGTCGCACCCATTTTAGTATTAGATTGGTTTTATTTGAATTTTTTATTTTTAAGTGTCAAGCAAATTACGAAATTACGGTTTTTTTGGTGTGAAATTGTTAGTTTGGCTGTGCTTCGAAGTGAAGGTAAAAAATCGATTTGTAATTCTTTCCCAAAAAGTAATTACCAAAATATCACCACCATTCCTCTTCTTGTTAATAAGAAAAAAAAATTGCATACAACCTTACTCCTGCATAAGGCGAATGAATCTTTTGTGAGAAATATACGAAATAAATTTTGTAAGAAATGTGGCACAAATTGAATCAGGGAAGGTGCTATGTGATTATACCAAAGAAAAATTATTTTTCAATGGTTCCAACAGTATATTATAAATTACACTATATTATTGGCTTACTATTATTGCCGATGATAACGTCTGGTCATAACTGTCAGCATTTTCATCCTAAAGCAGACGAGGTAAATATCAATTTTTAACAAAACTATTGCATCGTAAAATTTTTACTTAATGACATGACATTATATTGAATTATATGTGTACAGATATATTTATACAAATACCATAAATACATTAATATACGAAAATAACAAAATTTAATTATAGGAGCTTTAAGCGTTTATTTAATAAAATATCAAATCAAATCAATATCCAAATTGTGTGTGTTTTAATTTGATTAAATTTGAAAACAATAATAACGCCTTAATATTGTCGCCATATGACCTACGCAATATACAGGCATATATTAATTTGTAAAATTCCCTAATAGTGTGGCGTTAATTATAACTTTAAAATGTCTTCTCATTTTCTTTTCAATATTACTAATGCAGTTTTCTGAAGGTCAATAGTAATTTGGTAATTTATAAATATTTATGACTTTAATTTAACGCCTTACCAACAAAACAAAAACAAAAAAATTAATACAATATCCCAAATTTTGACTTGAATAATATGAATATTAATAAGCTAGTATTTTCCCTATACCAAATATTTTAAATGGTCATTAAAATTTCGCTGCTGAACAATTTCAATAATGTTGGCATACCTACCTACATATTTAATTTGATAATTGAATATTTATTTCAATGGAAATCTATTAAGTATAAAACTAGTATTAAACAGGTACATATTTACATGTTTAAATGCAAATAAAAATAAAAAAAAAATTAAATAGGTTAGTGGATTAAATTTTTACTGAATTATGCTAATATAACATTTTATTAGTAATTTCTTACTCAACAGGCAGCAAGTAAATATTTTAATAAAAAAAAAAAATGGTTTTCGATTCAACAAAACAAAGTTTGTGCATGCCCATGTACATATATTTTCTTTTTTAGAAATAAACAAGGAAAAACGGCTGCACCGAAATTATAATATTTTTGTCAAAGAAGAAAAGATTTCCATATAGAATTTGAGTTTGTTCGTTCAGTTGGTTTGTTAGCCTAATGCTAAATTGGTCCGATATTGGTGGTTTAACCAAATCAGCAGTTTCTTGTGACGAAAAGGATGTGTGAAAAAATTCATATCGATACCTCAAAAACTAAGGGACTAATTCGTAAACATCGATACATGCAAACATATGGACTAAGCTAAATGGATTCAGCCCATCACGCTTATAATTTATAAATACACTTTGTAGATTCTCCAACCCTTCCTTCTGTGCTTTGCATACTTAACATACCCTATTCCGGGTATAAAAATAATTTTATGCCAGTTACAATAGCAATTCCAATAAAACATGTGTTGATATAATTTAACTTATAAACTGTTTCTTTGTTCAATTTGAATTTTTTTAGKTGTTGAATAACAATCGTATAAATTAGCCGTGACTAATTTAATTGAACAATTAAGTTGTCCAAAGTGAGTGACGAATCCAATGAAGTGTGAAAGTTCTTGTAATTGGCRGTTTCCCAGACAGAAAAAATAGTTACAAAGCATTTGAATGCTTAATATACATGTGTACACATAAGTAAATTAAAAGGTAAAGTCAAAGATTTAAATAAAATTCATTTAAATCAGTGGAGCCGGTTTGCTGAAACAGTAAAATTTGTTTGCATTTGGTGGTAAATAATAGAATTTGACTCAGTTTGTGTATTTCAATGATGTACATTAGATTTTTTGTATTTCGTGAAATGTTTTAGCTGAAGAATCGCTGTGGAAATTAGCATTCAAAGATACTGTTAGGTACTTGTTATGCCATAATTAAACTTATGTGCGACTATTTCCACTGAGATACAGATAAGTTGAACAATTTTCTATAATTTATACGCATTCAAAGAACAATGAATAAAATCGTGACGAAGCCGGATTTTCCAAGTTCAGAGTTTCTGGTTTCATTTGTTATTTATTATTGCAATAGTTAGAAATTACKAGGGCTACTAGTAATTAAATAGGTTAAAGTGAACTACTTCTAAAAGAAACCGCGTTGTGTAGTTCTGTTAGAAATAAAAAAATTTTATGATAATATACATACATATGTATGTATACTATATGTTCAACCTTGATTTTAAGAAAATTGACAGTTTATGCGTTGCATTATTATTGGTATTCTTCATTTAATTATTTTTTAAATGCTTGATCGTAACGCAAATGATAATTATGATCTTTGGTTACACAACCATACAATTAAAATTTTAATTGTTATAATTGCATTTACATAAGTATTAAAAATACACTAAAAAACATTGTTGTCTCTATGGCTTCCAGTCCAGCAAATTTGCAAATATTAAACATAATTTTTAAATCTTGGACATGAAAATATTTGATCAAGTTAATAATGATATACAAGTATGTATAAGTTTGCATTTGTGTGCACGTACTAATAAATTCAYATGTGTGCATGCGTTCACATTTTTTTTTCACGGTGTCTGCCTCAGATTTGTTTATGGTTATACAATTTTATGTATATTTAACCACTACTTGAAGTACATACCTATATATTTACGATTGTATGTCTGTACCAATGAGCATTTCCGTAATATGAAATTTGGGATCTACATACATACATACAGACAAACATAATTAATTTTTTGTAAATAATTAACCTGATAACGAAAACAACGCATTAGCAGTTATAAGGCCTTGTTAAAGGTTTTCAAAATCAAAATTTGTATGCAAAAAAGTAAATTGACCGCGTTTGAACTAATTACTACAAATCTGTCGTAGACCATATTAGGATGGGACGTTTCGTAAAGTTGTGTGAAAATAAATCATGTATTAATTTTGATTTTTATACCTTGAACAGGTTATGTTAAGTTTGTCACGAAATTTGTAACACCCAGATGGAGCGTCGGAGACCCTATAAAGTATATATCCAAATGATCAGTAAGTTGAGCTGAGTCGTTTTAGCCACGCCCGTCTGTCTGTCTGTGTGTGTGGCAACACTGTAATCTCCGAAGAAATTGTTCAGATCGGTTAACTATAGCATATAGCTGCCATACAAACTTAACGATTGGAAAAAAGTTCTTGTATGGAAAACTTTTGCATTTGACAAGATATAATCACGAAGTTTGGTATAGATTATTTCCTAAGGCAACAATGTAATTTCCGAAATTGTTCAGATCGGCGTACTATAATATATAGCTGCCATACAAACCGGACGATCGGAATCAAGGGCTTGTATGGAAAACTTTCGCATTTGACGTGGTATCTTCATAAAATTTGATATGGATTACTGCTTAAGGTAATAATATAATCTTCGCAAAAATTGTTAAGATCGGATTACTATAGCATATAGGTTTTATATAAACTGAACGCATAGTTACTAAAAGAAATGCACCTGTGAAGGATACCATATCAGTTTCGGTGCAGCCGAAGTTAACGTTTTTTATTGTTTAAATAGGGTTCATCAGAGCATTGTGCAAATTACTATAAGAATTTGTGAATTCCATTAATGATGCCCTGCTCTGATGTGAACCATACTTCAGTGAGTGTGTTCTGACAGGACCAGAACAAATGGTAGTTAGAAAGGGCCAAGGTCTGGGTTATAATGTCGGTGAGGCAAAACTTCCATTCGCTTTTCAAAAAAAAAAAAAAAAAAAAAAAAAAACGGATTTTCAACATGAAGACGAGTGTTGTCATAATGTAAATTTATTGTCTCGTATTTGCGTTTTTCGGCAACTGCTAACTTCAATGAGATGAGTTGTTGTCGGAAGGGTTCTCCATCAACGGATTCATCCGGTTTTAGAAGCTCATAATACAGCACTACCTTCTGAACCCACCAAATACAGATCATACCTTGATGTCATGATTATTCGGCTTGGACGTTGATTTGGCTGGTCAGCCTCATTTCACCACTGATTTTTTGAATTTAGGGTTGTCGTAATTAACMCATCTTTCATTTTTAGCTATAGTTCAATGCAAAAATGACTGACATGCAATTTATTTTAAAGTTCGTCATCTTCAAACTTTTTTTGCGTCCCTCGTCTTCTAAGCCAAAATCATCACTTTTAAATCGTCCAAGCCACTTTTGGCACGTTCCATCAGCTGGAGCATGTTCACCATAAATTTCCACCACAATAAATTTTTTTGTTTTTTCGGCTGAGATTTTTACCTTTTATTTTTTATTATATTAAGAAATGAATATGAAGTCAGGCTCAGAGTTGCACATAGTTSAGAAGAAACAAAAATCTTAGTTTATGCTTCAATTGACTGAAGAAATAAATACCTCTTTCAACTATGTTGTGGTCCCGTTTATTTTCAATCCTGTCTGGAGGAGATTATTTGTCATCGAACTCACCTGGGTTACTTAGTTGCGGGATGACGGGATCACTCTTCTCTTATATTAACATAATCCTTTCGCGGCACTCCTGAATTTGCTCATTGTAATTATTGAGAGTTGTCTCAAAAAGCCATAATTGGACAATTACAAGTTCTTTAAATCAAAAATATATTTATCTAAAATGATTCATTGTTATTGTATTGCCTGGCATGGATTTATTAATACTATTCGCTTTTAGGTGATTGATCACATTTTTTATTTAAATATTAAACACTTTCCGACCCACTTTAGTGTTTTACATGCAAACATATATATAATTTAACGTCAAACGTGGAACACGCAACTCATCGATGAAGCCAATGAAATCCGATGAAAACGAAAGTGAAAGCCCGCTGCCGACTTGGGGTTGAACAAATATGGCAGGTGGCAAAACAAAACCAAAATCCATCGTTGTTTATTTTGGCCGCAAACTTCTTAGTCAATTTTGTTGAATCAAACAAATTTCATAATTTTTCAACGCTTACCCCGCACTTGGTATACAAAACTTTGTATGTATGTATTTTATCTGTGTGTAAATAATAAATTGCGCAAACCCTGCAGAGAAAACCAGATTTCCAAGAGCTGCTATATGCAGATAAAGTTTCATTTCTAATGCAAATACCTGTAGGGTATACTTAACATGCATATATGGGGCATCTACAGTGCGTACGCGCTAATTATTACCCAACAAAACTGAGGTGT